AATAGTGGGATTGACCGTCACATTATAGCGCCCCCATGGCTGAAAGGGCGAGAATGTTTGGTGGGATGCGGATTCGAACCCGCGACCCTCAGATTGTGAGTCGAGCGTCTTATCCACCTGGCCATGCCGGGCCTGTTCTATATGCATTACGAATTTAGCTATATATATATAATAGAGTAAACAATTTGAAATGATCCCAGACATGACTGTAATAGGAAACTGCTCAGGGAGCGTGTATCTATAAACTTTGAAATTTTCGGAGCACTATAATATACGTATAGAGGGTTTGTTTGTTTGTAATTAAGCACAAAGTTACACAATGGGCTATCTGTGCTCTGCCCACCATGGGTACCTAAGCCCGGTTTATAGCGTTGTAAGTCCGCAGACATACCGCTGTACAACTGGGGGAGGGGGTTTGTAACGAGGGGCTATGTGAAGTGTCTTATACTGACTCAACATACTAATTCTTACACACATACCAAACAAGTACGTTTCTTGATGTTAGACATAGCGACATCTAGTGGGCACTACGTACAGACAGGACAGCTAAAGTGACTTTCACTGATTCACATACTAAATCTTAAACACATACCAAGGAAGCATGTTTCTTGATGCTGGTTATATTGGTCACAGCTTTAATCCCATCAAAATAAGTCCTTTCACTGTAGTCATTCTCGCCAAGAAAATAAACATAGAGCTGGTATGAAAGGAACATTATGCTGGTATCACAAGAGACAGGAGGCATGCCTCGGGAACTGGGAAGTCTGCCATGTTGGAATTCTACCCTCGTGTTAACGTAATCGTAGTGAACACGTAGAAATGGTGATATCTCTACAGGAAACTCCATGTTACAGCCGCCGGGTATAGGCTCTAGTGAAGAAAAAATAAAAGTCTTCTGTTACATAGCGGAAACTGATTCCACAAAAAATTAAGTTTCGCATTTGTAAATAGACTTCAGTCTCAGAATTCGATGACGAGGAACCCACTTTGAGACTAATAATGGCTAGAGACGGCTTGAGTGGGTAATGAAGAAAAA